TAAGTAGGTTTGACCTAGCTTTTGTTTTTTTAGTACGGCTGGGAGTGGTGGGATAAGCACAACCAAAATACACTTTAGAAAAGTGTATCGTTTGGTTCTTAGTTTATGCTTATTTTGGCAAGTAGTTTATAAGTCGTACCAAATAAGCCCTAAGTCTACCCAGGTGAAAGCTCTAGTTTGATTTTGGTGAATTGATGAAACCCTAGGTGCTAATCCTTTGCTCTAAGTGATCATGAGATAGGATGGCACATTCCAAGTGATGGAGCAAATGGAGAATATCATGATGGTGGTGATGGCCATGGTGATGATCAAGGTGCTCGGACTTGGAAAAGAAGAAAGAGAAAAACAAAAAGCTCAAGGAAAAGGTGATATCCATAGAAGCTTTTGTGTTTTAGTGATCGAGACACTTAGTGAGTGTGATCACATTTAGAATAGATAGCCGTACTATTAAGAGGGGTGGAACTCATATCGAAATGCGGTTATCAAAGTGCCACTAGATGTTCTAACTCATTGCATATGTATTTAGATCTAGTGGAGTGCTAATACCCTTGAAAATATTTGTGAAAATATGTTAACACATGTGCACAAAGTGAAACACTTAGTGGTTGGCACGTTTGAGCAACAGTGGTGAAGTTGGAGATCAAAAGGGGTTGAAACAGGGGCGTCGGACCCTACTTCACTAGGCGTCGGACCGGCTCCTGCCTGGGTCCGATGGCTAACCCTAACGCACGCATAGAGAAGAAGCTGCATCGGACCAAGGCTCGCGGGGGAATCGGACTAGCCGAGTGCACTGTTCATTCAGTGCTGCGCGTGTAAATGAGTGCGCGCGCGACACGTGTCGGCGTCGGACCATGGCTTGGGTCCGACGGTGGACGTCGGACCGGGGACCGAGGGGTTTTACCCTCTCTGGACCTTACTGGACCGCGTCGGACCCTCCCTATGTGGAGTTCGACGGTGGGTCCGACGGCCTGGGTCCGACCATGGTGATCAGCACGCGACTGCTTGACCGTTGACGGCAACGGCCGACTCGTTTGACTGGGACACATGGCATCGCTGGAGTGGTCACGGCAGGGCGTCGAACCTTGCATCAAACGGTCTGACGGTCCCGTGCCAGCGAGTCCGACGGTCACTTTTGTGACCCAATGACTCTATTTCGTGGGGGCTTCTATTTAAGCCCCATGACCGGCTCTAGCTCACTCTCTTGGCCATTTGCATTGACATAGCAACCTTGTGAGCTTAGCTAAAGCCCTCCCACTCATCTCCATCATAGATTCTTCATTTTAGTAAGATTGGGAATGAATCCAAATGCATTGCTTGAGCGTTTGCATCTAGACGCACTTGGTGATTGTGTTTCACTGCGGGATTTGCTTGTTTCTCATGGTGGTTGCCGCCACCTAGACGGCTTGGTACAGCGAGGATCGTCGAGCGGAGGAAGGTGATTGTCTCCGGCTCTAATCGTGGTGATTGTGACGGGTTCTTGACCTTTCCTCGGCGGAGAGCCAAAAGGTACTCTAGTGGATTACTCGTGGCTTGTGTGATTCTCATCTTGTGTTGGTTGTGCGGCACCCGATTGTGGGTTAGACATGTGATGCCTATTAGCGCGTGAACCTCTAAGTGAGTGAATCGACACAACATGGACTAGTTTACCGGCAAGCAAGTGAGCCTCGATGAAAAATCATTGTGTCATCTCTTGTCATCGGGATTCTATTATGATTGGTTGGCTTTATCTTGTGATTGGTTCATTTCTCGACACAGCGGTATAATTCATCTTATAATTCACTATCCCACGTACGAGAAAAAACACATCAGTGGTGCTCCATCCATGTGTGAATATGTGGTCGTCCCTGCTATATATAGTAGGGGTGTTTGGGATGCGGAGTGAGGCCTGTCGCAGATAGACTGGCGCGCGCTGCACATTGCATTTGCATGGTGCCACACCACATCCACATGGCTCCCAAAGGAGGTAGCAGCACTAGCAGTGCTGCGATGCTTGCTCGTCTTCTCCCGCTCCTCCTCCTCGCTGCTGCTTCCAACGCTTACGGTGGCGCTGGGCAGCCGCCGATCAGCAGGAGGAGCTTCCCTGAGGGGTTCATCTTCGGGACGGCCTCGGCGGCCTATCAGGTAGTAGCGACAGTTCTGATCTCTCATCTCTCAGTCATGCACACGTGCGTTCACTCCAGGGTCAAGGGTCCTGCAGGGCATATGATCTTTTAATATAATAAGCAATACCTTTCATCAGCACCACTAGCTAGTTGGCAAGCTGCAAGAAACTTAGAAACAGTCAATAGTTTGTACTGAAATAACTGGCCTATAGAAGTCGATGATCTGCTCCAACTCATCAGCCAAGTAGCCATTGGTTTTGCCATGATCTTACAAGTTAGCCTGATAGTGATATTCATGTGCAGTACGAGGGTGGTGCGATGGAGGGGGGCAGAGGGCCCAGCATCTGGGACACCTTCACTCATCAGCACCCAGGCATGTATTGTATTTGTATATACCTCTATTAGATCGTTTTGCTTTGTACCTTTTTCCAACTTACATGTGCTTCTATGCTTTGTATCTTTTTTTCCAACTTACATGTGTTTCATATGCTTCTTCACCATGCATGTTTGCAGCTAGGAAAAACTATCTCTTGATCAAGAGCTAATCTCATGCATGCACACGCTCCACAAGATCTTTATAGGGCTATTCATACTATGAGTTATGTGCTAAAAGTTAATACCGGATTAGTGGTTAGCAATAAATTAACTTGACATAGTAACAAATAGCATTTTGTAGGGTCCGCTTTAGTAGATAGCAGAACGAAGATAGGATGTTGAAACTTTAACAGCCGCTATTGCACTTAGCCTTTACTATTGTGGGCCGCTATTGGTATTATTAGGCTTATGCTAATGGTTCAAGTAACAATATGGATGGTGCCGTATGCATGGTAACAAAAATGGTGACGATAAAGAATAATGGGATGATCGATGATATTGTTTTTATGAGAGCCTGCTCTTAACTTGTCTACCCGTGTCTTCTTTGTATCTTGTTTATTTATGTTTCTTTATGGTTTCTATACAGTCAAATGTAGTAATTAATTTAAACTTTTAATTATATTAAGCAAATATCATGTTAGTGACTACTTTTAATATTTTGCTATTGAAACTTAGCGTACGCTATAACACTTGCTATATATCTGATATGCAAACACGGATCTCCTGCGAGTTGGCTATCCGCTATTTATTACCCTTGTCCTGCACTCCCGATCATGATACTCTGATAGTGATAAGTCAGTTTCGATTCACACGATGTATGACCTGTCGAGCAGTTAGCAGTCCTGTCATATGATACTCTGATAGTGATAAGTCAGTTTCGATTCACACGATGTATGACCTGTCGAGCAGTTAGCAGTCCTGTCATTACTCTTCGTAGATTGCTTTGTTGAACACGGAATGTATTGAGCAAGTTGTTGAATTATTCATCTTGCTTGTGGCTGTCAATAATCTTAATTTGACATAACTAGTCATCCAAGGAAAATAAGCATACTACCATACGGGGGTAACTTATGGTGTAAGGCTGTGTTTACTTATAGGAATTTGGATTTTGGGGTACTGTAGCACGTTTGTTTTTATTTAGTAAATAATGTTCAAACATGGACTAATTAGGCTCAAAACATTTGTCTCGCAATTTTCCACCAAACTGTGCAATTAGTTTTTCTTTTCGTCTACATTTAATGCTCCATACACGGGCCGTAAACATTTGATGTGGCAGGTACTGTAGCAAATTTTTGGAAGTTGGGGTGGAACTAAACAAGGTGTAACCTAACCCCTATTGAATTTAAGTTACAATAGACATTGCTTCTCTGATTTGGCAGATAAAATTGCTGACAGAAGCAATGGGGATGTGGCAGTGGATTCCTGCCATCTCTACAAGGTATGACTCATAATATATTCTTTTCTACAGAATATGTATTCTGTATCTTAATGGAGTATGAAAGAATTTCAAGTACTGTAACACTCAAGTTGGTTAGGGTCTTTATTCTATCAGCTTAAGCATAACGCAAGGCCCTTATATGTGAATTAAAACCTATCAAAATACAACTCCTTCCTTTTTTCAATTATAGACCATTTTAGTTTTTTTTCAAGTCAAACTTCTATGACTTTGATCAAGTTCATAGATAAATACACAACCATCTAAAACATCAAATTAGTTTTATTAAATTCTTCATGAAATATTTTTATAGTACATTTATTTAAACTTGTATAATGCTATGTAACTTTTCTAAAAAAATATGATCAAATTTAGAGAATTTTGATTTATGATAAAACTGAAGTGACCTATAATTTGGAATGGGCAGAGTGGTACATTTCTGACCCATGATGGATGACTTTTAAAAAATGTAGGAAGATGTGCACATCATGAAGGGTATGGGGATGGATGCCTACAGGTTTTCAATCTCCTGGAGTAGAATTCTTCCAAGTAAGTGTGATCCAATATCCAGATATTTAATTTGCAAATTAACTGTTTTGGCCATATTCCAAAGTCCAAGGATATGAATTGCATAATGCTTAGACATCTGAATGTAATGATAGATGGAAGTCTGAGCGGTGGAGTAAACAGAGAAGGCATCAGATACTACAATAACTTGATCGATGAGCTTCTGTTGAAAGGTGTGCCATATGATTTTGTATATCTTTGCGAAACCTTGAAATTTACTTTCAATTCAAATTTGGGTTCTTATTTTCTTTTCAGTGAAAAAACACTTATATTTCCACCTAGATTGGTATAACTTTTATTAAAATAATATGCATACATGCTTATATTTGTGTGCAGGGATGATACAGCCATTTGTGACCCTTTTTCACTGGGATTCACCTCAGGCGTTGGAAGATAAATATGGAGGATTTCTTAGTCCTAACATTATGTAAGTAATGATATTCTATCCACACAGGATGCAAGAACGAACGACGCGTTCTGCACTAACGTCACCGCTAAACAAATCTATCTATGACTGTCAGAAACGACTACAAGGACTATGCTGAGGTTTGCTTCAAAGAATTTGGTGACCGAGTGAAACACTGGATCACGTTCAATGAGCCCTGGACCTTCTGCTCAAATGGGTATGCGTCTGGCACGTTTGCGCCGGGCCGGTGCTCACCATGGGAGCAGGGAAAGTGCAGCGCTGGGGATTCAGGAACAGAACCTTACACTGTCTGTCATCATCAGATACTCGCCCATGCAGAAACAGTCCGGTTGTACAAGGAAAAATATCAGGTCAGTGATGAACTCACCCATCCAGTTTCAGTTCATCAATGAACAACAACTCAATTGAAACTATGCAATTCTGAGTTTCAGTTCATCAATGACCGAATGCCGAATGCAGGTGGAGCAAAAAGGAAATATTGGAATAACTCTAGTCTCACACTGGTTTGTGCCCTTTTCCCGTTCCAAATCAAACGATGATGCAGCGAGGCGTGCCATCGACTTCATGCTTGGATGGTAAATAACTAAATATAATTCTTTGTGCTCCTCACAGAATTTCATTATTGACCAAGTCTAGTCTAGAAGAAAATAAAGAACTCACTAGGAATAAGCATGAGACCATTGGTTGTCATTCTAGGTTCATGGACCCCCTCACTAGAGGAGAGTACCCGCTAAGCATGAGAGCACTGGTTGGAAACCGTTTGCCACAGTTCACAAAGGAACAGTCTGAGTTGGTCAAGGGTGCTTTCGACTTCATTGGGCTCAACTACTACACCACAAACTACGCTGATAACCTTCCTCAATCAAACGGCCTCAACGTTAGCTATAGCACTGATGCCCGTGCTAATCTTACCGGTAAGTCCTAAAGTCAAGGACCAATCTACTTCTGTTCAGTTATCAGTTTGGTAATTATGAAGAGTATTGCCTCTACTTCTGAAATGCTTATATGAGGCAAAACTCTGACGCAGAAGGAAGAAAAAATCTTTTTTGAATGTACATGCATTTCTATTATAGTTTCTGTTGACATATACAGTATTAACTAACTAACCAACCTCGTGTGGTCATTTATTAGGTTTTCGGAATGGTGTCCCTATTGGTCCTCAGGTAACAACAGGTCACAAGTAACTTCGATCATCTCCCACTTTATGTGTGGCTAATGAACTAACGATACATTTGCACGAATGACACATGGATGTGTAGGCTGCTTCACCTTGGCTGTTCATATACCCTCGAGGCTTCCGTGAACTGCTGCTTTATGTGAAGGAAAACTATGGCAACCCTACCGTCTATATCACTGAAAATGGTAACTTCAGTGTGAATGAGCTAGCTAAAAAAACGAAACAGAGCATCTGAAGAAAATCTGTCATCTGAAACTTTTAGGCGTCGACGAAGCCAACAACAAGAACCTCTCACTCGAGGAAGCTCTGAAGGACGACACCAGGATAGAGTTTCACCACGCTCACCTCCTTGCTCTGCAAAGTGCCATAAGGTGGGAACTACGATGATTCAGTCCAGGCGGCAAATAAATGCTGCAAATGCGAGTGGAATTACAATTGCTGCATCTGATCGACTCGCAATGCAACTCGCTGCTGCAGGGACGGCGCCAACGTGAAGGGATACTTCGCGTGGTCGCTGCTGGACAACTTCGAGTGGGCGAGCGGCTACACGGTCCGGTTCGGGATAAACTTCGTGGACTACAACGACGGGCTGAAGCGGTACCCCAAGAGCTCTGCCCACTGGTTCACGGACTTCCTCAAGAAATAAGCCTGTGCAGTGGACGACGATGCTGCTGTGCCGTGCGGGGCAGCAAGATTGTTGCTAGCTATAAATAAAGCGCAAACAAATAAGAAGCACGATCATCACATTATTATTGGTGTCGTGCCCGCGACGTGTGATGATTTTCGAATTGTCTTGTGAGTTGTGAGATTGAGAAACAATGAAACATCCATCGACCTTTGAATTCTTTGTGGTGTGGAGGTCCAGTTCAGTCCACGCGAGTTCTGACCAAGACAGGGTCCAGGGAACTCGCGGCCCTTTATGAATTCGGGTGTCAAACGGTAACAGTCCTGAAAACTGCGACTGCAAATATTACATTCGGCCCAGCACATATATACAGCTAGGTCTTAGTTCCTCTTTTTCCATCCTACCTCGTTGCTGATCGTGCTCGCTATGCGTGCGTTTACATATACTGAGCATGCTGTTTCGCTGTCACTTTTCGCTATCCGAAACAGCTCCATGGTCCTTCCTCAGCTTCTCTACGTCGACTTTTAAACTCTTCAGTTATAGTCAAACAAAGATACAGGCTCTCCTGCGTTTTCTCATATGAGTGGATTTTTCAGATGTCCTTGTGACCGTAAGGGCTATCTCAATCATTCATCTTACGTCAAGATTCGTGCGGACAAGAGAGAGACAAAATCATGGGTAGATGACAGAATGCTTCAAGATTCGTGCAGTATGAGGGAAGCGATGCTGTCTTGATAGGCCATGCGGCCACATGTGCCTAAGTGTTATTATTAATAAGTTCATTAGTTGCCCTGTGTGTTAGTGAACTTAGCAATACATGATGCTTGACCTTATGAACGAGACATAGACAATGCACACATATCATAATTATCTAAGTGTATGTGTCAAGTACTTATAAGCATTACATTGGCTGCCAACCTCCAAGAAAATTCAACAATCCCCAAGAAAATAATAATTTATCTTAACTATTTAGAACAACCCCCAAGAAAATAGTTATTTCCTTTGACGGTCAAGAATAACACTAAAAAATAAGTCATTTTTCTTGACTATTTACGATTACACTCAAGGAAATGAATAATTTATTTGAAGGTGCTTAGAACCCGCTAAGGAAACATCGATATCAGCCCTCAAGGAATATACGACATTTTTTTGTGCTCTATGAGCACCACCAAGAAAATTATACTTTCCTTGACGGTTCTATTCTGACAATCAAAAAAAATCTTAGCACTCAAAGTAATAGTAGTGACAAGTTCAGAAACTGAGGCATCTATACTAGTATCATGACGAAGACGTTCCACACATATGCCTAGCCGCAAGCATCTTTTCTTCTATAATATCATATATTTTTTCTTCAACCAGGACCAGGAAATGAGAGAAAGTAGGTTCATGTGTCCCTGTCATGATGCGATCACGGATACCGATCGAGAGGAAGAGATAAAATTATGTCGCGCGATGACCATGCATTAGCATATATATGGGGTGCAAATTGCAGGTACCACTAGGCTCTTCCCTCTCCCCATGGCAGCTGGGAGAGTAGCAGCTGCGACTGCGATGCTTGGCCGTCTTCTGCTCCTGCTCATCGCAGTCGCAGCTTCCGACGCCAACGATGGAGGCAGCCAGCCGCCGATCAGCCGGAGAAGCTTCCCGGAAGGGTTCATCTTCGGGACGGCCTCATCGGCATATCAGGTGATGGATGTTCCCTGCAATAATTCTTCAGGACTAATTAAGCTACTAGGACAATGAGGATGTTTCAGTGTTAACTTCTCGTTCTGGGAGGAATTAAATTCTAATGACTTGCTGGTGATGTTCACGTACGTGCAGTATGAGGGTGGTGCAATGGAGGGGGGAAGAGGACCAAGCATCTGGGACATCTTCACCCATCAGCACTCAGGCATGTGTACACCGTAGCCACTCTCTCCGATGTAACTTGAAACTTGAAAGAGTGAAGCGTATAAAAACCGTCGCAATCATGTTCAACCGCTACATGATCACTTCAAACATGATTTAGTGGCTCAACGATATCGAATTTTTAGATGATGGAATAAAAAAACATTCCAGCCGCTACATCATTATTTGCTAGTTCAGCAAAGCTAGCACATAAATATCAACTGAATGAAAACAAGTCTTATGAGATGCAAAATTGCAAATCCTATAGTAGATTATATCATCCATGCTTGGCGAAGATTTCCTAAGTAATTTGTTTTCAACGTGCGATATGCGTGCTCCGAGGACTATCCCTGCGGCCTACCTTTTTAATTTCTGTTAGCACAGTGCCCAAAATCTGATCCAGTAAGTAGCGATAAATCAATTTCTGAGTAGCACTTGGAGACCTGTAGAGACATAAATAGTACATTTCTTGACAAGTTTTGAGCTAGTTGCCCTTGTGTTTATGTTGCTACCCTCTTAATGAAATACGTGCTAGTTGGTGCGGCCACGAAAAAAAAGAGGAATAGGGTATCCTATGATTACCTCAAGAAATAGGTGTTAGAATTCCTGCTCACATTTCTATTGTCAGCGCCAGCGGCTGTCCTTGACAAGTTTTAGCCATTAGCCAAGGTAATAGTCTTAACAGATACAGATAGAGAACATCCTTCCAGGGGGAGAAAAAAAAGCCGTCCCAAGCTGTCTAACTGGACTGAGATTGTACACAAAGAAGATCTGTTTATTCTGCCCAAATATTTGCTGGTTGGGGATTAGCTTGACCCCCAGTCCAGCTCATCACAATCTCATAAGTCACAATTCCAGTCGTTCACACCATGAGCCAACCAGTCACTACCTGTTCAGTTCCATTTTCTCCGTATGGATTGCTATGTTGAACAGGGAGTATGAAACAAGTTGTTGAATTATTGATCTTACTTGTGACAGTGAAGCTTAGTTGACTAGTCCAAATACCACTAGCAACTTGTGTGCATTTTTATTAATTTAAATGACTAGAAAAAACAAAACAAGAACAACCCATCTATGGAACTTACTGATTCTCTAATTTGGCAGATAAAATCGCCGACCGGAGTAATGGGGACGTTGCAGTGGATTCCTACCATCGTTACAAGGTAGGAATTTATTAGTTTTTTTTAAGGTATCCTTCTTTTAGTTTATTTTTTATTCAAATCAAAAATAAATTCCTGTAATAATTTTAATGATTATATAGTCCAAGTAGTGCCGGTATCTATTTTTCTATCTGCTTATATTAAGTTTTAGATAAGATCTTTAGGTTTGAAAACCAACCACAACGTAAGTGCGGTATTAGCACATCATAGATCAATAATATAATAGTGACTTGCCCAAAATGCAGGAAGATGTGCGCATCATGAAGGATATGGGAATGGATGCCTACAGATTTTCCATATCCTGGACTAGAATTCTTCCAAGTTAGTGTGATATAATTGTTTAGACGTTGTCTTACATGTCTTCTAAAGTTCAAACCCATCAAATCAAATTTAAACGTCTCAATCTAATGACAGATGGAAGCCTGAGCGGTGGAGTGAACAGAGAAGGCATCATGTACTACAACAATTTGATTGATGAGCTTGTGTTGAAAGGTATACCGCTTTCTTTACTTCCATCAAATGATTCTGTATACTCATGTACCTATCAAATATTCTCATATATATTTGCATACATCTGCAGGTGTGCAACCATTTGTGACACTTTTTCATTGGGACTCGCCCCAGGCATTAGAAGATAAATATGGAGGATTCCTTAGTCCTAATATTATGTGAGTAACGACGTTTTAGTCCTTTTCTGATTGCAAAAATACTTCTAGACTGACCTGCATAAATTAAACTGCTGGAAAGTGACCACCAGATTAATAAGAAGTTTAAATGCATTAGGTAGTAACAAATTGACAAAGAAAAACAATTTTAGGATGTGTTGTCAATTTGTTACAAAGAGTATATTGTATTTATCCTAATAAGTCATACTCAATTTATTTACTTGCGCTAGGTAGTAATAACAAATTGACAGCACATCCTAAAAAAATAGAGAAAACTTGTAGCAAAACTAGTATTCAATAGGAACAAATACTAACCTGTTGACGCTGGCAGTTAAAATTGCTGTTTATGTACTCACTGAAAGTCACATGATCAATAAATAAAACTGTTGATGTTGCAGAAACGACTATAAGGATTATGCTGAGGTTTGCATCAAGGAGTTTGGCGACAGAGTGAAACACTGGATCACATTCAATGAACCCTTGAGCTTCTGCGCAACAGGGTACGCATGGGGCACATATGCACCAGGCCGGTGCTCACCGTGGGAGCAGGGCAAATGCAGCACTGGGGATTCTGGAAGGGAGCCTTACACAGCATGTCACCATCAAATACTAGCCCATGCAGAAACAGTCCGATTGTACAAAGAAAAATACCAGGTCAGTGATGAACTCTCCATGAAATTGCCACAGTGGATAGGTTGGCCATAATAACAACAGGCATCTATTTAGATTAGAGAGCCACATTTTCTAGTCTCTATGGGTATATTCAGAAGTTCTAAGGTTTAGGAGAACAAAAGTTCAAAAACTTACAGCACCATGGTATGGTTTTTAGGTCAAGTAGTTGGTTACGGTCTTATTGTTAAAAATCATGCATGTATTCAAAATGTATTGTTTCTATTTGCCAAATATCTCCAAACATCACCCCCATTTGTCTGATATATTGAATGTCAAATGCAGGCTGTGCAAAAGGGAAAGATCGGAATAACTTTAGTCACAAATTGGTTTGTTCCTTTCTCCCATTCAAGATCCAATGATGATGCAGCGAGGCGTGCCTTGGACTTCATGTTTGGATGGTAAATTCCGTATGGCCCTCAAAACATATCAATGTCAAAATTTAGAAGAGAACCAGAATTTTAATAGAAGTGCCCTTTAGGTTTATGGATCCCCTTATTAGAGGACACTATCCAGTAAGCATGAGGAGATTGGTTGGAAATCGCTTGCCGCAGTTCACAAGCGAGCAGTCTGAGCTGGTCAAGGGTGCATTTGACTTCATCGGACTCAACTACTACACTGCAAACTATGCTTCTAACCTTCCTCCATCAAATGGCCTCAACCTCAGCTATAGTACAGATTCTCAGGCGAACCTTACCGGTAAGTCACTGAAGCCAAGAGATGACTTCGTGTCATCGTTCTTGCTTGAATTAGCAAAAGAGTATTGTTGCAAAATTCTACAAAAGTTATGTTTAATAATACTATTTTAGATGATGGAAAATAATACCATAGCTGCCTCTGAGATGCTTGTGGCTAATACTTATTACAATAGTGCACCCGCAGCAAAAGTAAGTTTAATATTCCCTCCGTCCCAAATTATATGTCATTTTGAGTTTTCTCAATATATAGCTTTTATGTACCTTTTTATATCTAGATATATTTTTTGTAAAAGCTAAAACGACATATAATTTGGAACGGATGGAGTAGTTCTCAAATAAAGAAGAAATGTTTAATACCATAGCTGTAATATCAATCTATATTCGCAAAAAAAAAAAAATCTATGACATGAGGTCATGTGTCAATCTGAATATCAAAAACATGTATTTCTCGCCCACATTTTTTTAGCCATACTAACCTCCTCCCATTTGTGTTAGGTGTGCGAAATGGTGTGCCCATAGGCCCTCAGGTAACCACAGAGAACAAGATACCCTTGCTCTTCCTTCCTCTAAGCAGAATTATTCGAGTGCTATCACGCCCTTTAGGATGGCATGATAGCAACCACAAAAGGTCATGAAAATTGTGAAAAAGAAATTCAGAACATTGGTTTGCGTGACATGTATCTACCTCCCCACAAAACTTTAGAACCAATGTTGTGAAAATTTTCCAAGAAGTCTCTTGATATTTTGGGCTTGCTTATTGTGCGTCAGTAGCACTCGTAGGGGTTCACCGGAACTATGCTCCCCTCGCCTATGTGTAGTTGTGTTCCACATATAAAAGTGGCTTTGTATATATGCAGGCTGCTTCATCTTGGCTCTACATTTACCCTCAAGGATTCCGTGATCTGCTACTATATGTCAAGAAAAATTACGGCAACCCTACTGTCTATATCACTGAAAACGGTAATTTTTGTTGCCACATTGCTTTCTTTACAATCCGTATCATGTTGAGGTTATTTTCCTCTTGAAAGACGATGATTGAAACATTTTCCTTTATTCTAGGAGTTGATGAAGTCAACAACAAGAGTCTACCACTCCAGGAAGCCCTGAAGGACAGCACTAGGATAGAGTACTACCATAAGCATCTCCTTGCCCTACAAAGTGCTATAAGGTCAGTCAGAGCTCTATCTAGCTCATGCGTGCAACGCAAAAGCAATGCCAGTAAGTTTGTAGACACTAGCTTATGGAGAAGGGAGAACTTGTTGCATCTGATCTGTGGTTCGCTGCAGCGACGGGGCGAATGTGAAAGGCTACTTCGCGTGGTCGCTGCTGGACAATTTCGAGTGGGTGAATGGCTACACGGTCCGGTTCGGGATATACTTCGTGGACTACAGTGATGGACTGAAGCGGTACCCCAAGAGCTCCGCCCACTGGTTCAAGGAGTTCCTCAAGAAATAAGCATATGTGCATGGGCGAGAGGCCGCCCGGCAGCTGCGAGAGTGTTAGCAACTTATTGCTAATCTTCGTGCGGCGTTTGGTCTGGCCTCGGTTGTATGGCCGTGTTACAGATAAATTGCCCCACCAACAAGTGTGCTCACTATTTTTAAGACATAGAAAAAATTATTTGAGACCCTTATAAGTGGTGTATTTAACCATATATTATTATAGCCAGTCTGTTGAAAGGCTAATAATTTTTTCTTTAGATAATGGAAAAATCTGAATTCAGCCTTCTTCAAAGAATAAGCATCAGTCCACACTTATTACAAGCATAGCTAAGCAAGATTTAAACTTGTTACAACTTACATGTTTGAAACTAAAGAATTTAAACTAATCACATATTCAAAACTAAAATCCAACACGGTAAATAAAAGACCATTTATTAGACATGAAAAATTGCATGGTTCTTGATTCTAGTAGCTTACAAGCCTCACGAATTCATTATTTGTCTTCATCCGAGCGTATAGAGCCTAAAATTGTAGCCAATGTGACCATGAAAAGTTAACAAATAGCAAATGCCAAAATGTAATCATATCAAAAAGAATAAAGAAAATGGAACCCTAATTATGAAGTCTATCAATAAACTTACATTCTCAATTGGCAAAGATATCCATATCCATATCTGTCATTTCCAAGGTATGGCATGGCAATGTATTTTGTAATGTCGGTTGCAAAAACACAATTCTGAGTCTATTTTGGAGCTCCACCGAGGTACACTATCAGTCACAAGCCACTGGTCTTGCCACTCGCTACCTGTCTCTCCCAGACACCTTAGCGTCATCCACTATGGAGTTTGTCCACCAAGGAAGGGCTCTTCTCGTCCCTTACATACCAAGCTTGGAGGGTTGAAGTTGCTAGAGAGGCAACAAGCTTCTAAGTCCCCTGGCACATCAAAGATACAACTGCACGCAACGCATCTCCCTCTAGTTCTCAAGCTAAGGCTTAATATTCACTCACCAGTGATGTCATGAATCCTAGCCTTAGATATGATCACTAAGATCTCATACGTTGGAGTCTGCTTGACTACTTCAACTAGATCCCAATCACTATCGCGCGCGCGTGTGCTGCTAACTGAAGCGGTGTAGCACCCGGTTTTAAGAACAAAATCAGATACACATCATATGTGAGCCCAGAAAGTCAAATCTCACATATGGCTATAAATAAGGGTAATATCAATAGACAATGCTCAATATATAACGTACTTAGTATAAAGAATATAACCTTAAACAACAAAAAACGGAAAGATAACTCCGATCTTCGGGTGAAGAGCGTAAGCACATGTCGTACTCAACAAATATAACATGGGGTTCATGAGGCTCAAAAGGCTGACACTGGTTTAACTGCGATTAGCTTTTAATTGTCACAATTTTAGCATAGGAGTAGCAACAAGTTTATCATAAGCCCATATAAACACATGATCAGGTAAACATGAATAATGAATAGCATAAACAGTAATCATTAATGAGCATCTTCATCATCTGTATCATTAGTGTTCATCATCTATTCCGTAAGGGTCCAAGGCCGCTCGTGACCGTGAGCCCGGCCGATATACCAGTTTTACACTCTACAGCGGTTGTACACTTTCACCGTGAGTCATGATTTACCCTTTCGCTCGAGGTAGCTAATCTCTTGACCCACTTTCAAGGAAGGTCGGCATGGTTCACTATGAAGCCTTTCAAAATTTTGTCTAACAAGTTAGGGTCATTAGATTCACTTGGCAAATAGATATAGAAACCTTCTGTCGAATGGCACAAAGACACGCAGCCTATACACATAAGAGTAGAGGTTGTCCTATACCCGATTCGTCAAGCCATTCTTATGCCATAAAGGTAATCTCTAACAAGCTAGAAAAGGTCATTATATTGAGCTAAAGCCAAAGCCATGTAGCCCTCATAGTTGTACTGTAAGTCCTGGATGTTCGCTTACAGATAAGTCCTTAGGGAGAGAAATCTAGAGCATCATAAAAACAGTCCAATGCTCTAGCCCCCTTGTTCTATGTTGCTAAAAAGCATCTTTTAATGTTTATTGCATATACCATTAGTCAAGTTACAAGATCATGGTCTTTAATTGAGCACTAGCATCATACTACCCAATGCAATACCCCATAGGTAATAAGGCACAAGGTAACAAAGCACTAGAAAATATTTAATGACAGTTAAGGTAGACACATACAGTATGAATTAAATGATTAAAGGTGTATAGAATAACAAGGAAGATCCCATGCTATATTTATCTTAAACTTAGATCCTTTCTCTATTGATTCGTAGCCTATAAAGAACTGCTTCTTGATCACCACGTAAAACTCAACGATCATTAAGCACCACACAAGCATCCGAACAAACATGCATAGTATTCAAACATAACTATATTAGAACAATACACCAATCAATGAAAAAGAATTTGAAATCTAATCTACGCGTTGCTACGATCACACAGACGCGAAAAGCACGCTAATCGAAACTATGGTTGTAAAGAAATGACTACATGGTTTTATATTATAAAAGAAAAGAGAAGGCTATAAGCTTGATTTATGTTAATTAGAAAAAACTATGTGAGTAGCATTAATTTAGATTCAACAAATCGTATTTATACTTAAGAACTGAGTTGAAGCTAATTATATTTTATTTATAAATATTTTGATATCATTTATGCCAATTCAACTTTAACTTGCAAATACAAACTAACATGTGAGAACATCTAATCAAATTTGACATATGTGTTTAGACTAAACATATTATAATTTAGAAATATATTTATGTTAGCAACTAGTCATGATAAAACTTATTCGCAAAAGAGCATTGTATATAATTATGTTGCTTTTATTTATAAAAATTAGTTGCATGCATATTAATCAAATTAATATTTAAGCATATATATAAAAGTCACTTGACATGGAAAACGACGACACTAGCATGTAGATCACATCGATATGAATCTAACGCAATTGGAACGACTCAAAATGGACTTAAAACGAAAAAACGGTGGAGCTCGATTGCTGATTATTGGTGGTGTATTTCTATAGTATTTCTGGATTTGTTTTTCTATAAGAAAACGGCCATAATGTGTGGGTGACGTGATGATGATGCCATCAAGCTAGCAAGAGCAAAACTAGGCACGCATGGCTGTTCTGCTGGCTCTGCTTGCTCGAGCGATGTAGCGCGTTTGCGCGCGGGCGTGCACGTCGAAAGGTGGGATGCAAGGGCTGGTTGTTGAGTTATGATCCAAATTCAGTTATGTACAAGATAAAGGCTAACTTCTGATAGAGTGAAGCGAGGCCCATCGCCGGGAGGCTTGCACCGAAGCGATGGCATGATACGCACACTAAAAGATGTGAGACACATACCATGGATAGCTAGAAATCTCATCTCCCTCAGCACACTTGATGCCGAGGGATACAAACACTCCGGTTCAGGTGGAGTGTGTAAGGTATCAAAAGGCTCTTTCATTCATATGATAGGTGATATGAATTCTGCAAAGCTATATGTTCTTAGAGAAAGTATTTTACATGGTTCCGTCACTGCTGCTACTATTTCTAATGATGAACCAAGTGAGACTAATCTCTGGTATATGCATCTTGGGCATATGAGTGAACTTGGTATGGCAGAATTGATCAAGAGAGACCTGCTGGATGGCTGCATTGTGGGTAAGATGAAGTTCTATGAGCACTGTATTTTTGGTAAGCACAAGAGGGTAAAATTCAATGCATCTGTTCATATCACCAAAGTTACACTTGATTATGTACATGCTGATTTGTGGGGGCCGTCTCGTAAGCCCTTTTATGGTGGTGCTCGTTACATGCTTACCATTATTGATGATTACTCTAGAAAAGTGTGGTCTTATTTTTTGAAAAATAAAGATGATACTTTTGCTGCTTTTAAAAAGTGGAAAGTTATGATAGAAAGGCAAATTGAAAAGAAAGTAAAATTCTTCGTACTGACAATGGCGGTGAATTCTGTTTGGATGCTTTTAATGATTACTGCATGGAAGAAGGCATTGTCAGGCATCACACCATCCCGTACACTCCTCAGCAAAATGGTGTGGCTGAGCGCATGAACCAAACCATCATCTCGAGGGCTCGTTGCATGTTGTCCAATGCTTGTATGAACAGGTGTTTTGGGCTGAGGCTGCTAACACCGCCTGTTACTTGATCAACCGATCACCTTCTATCCCACTTAATAAGAAAACTCCCATTGAGGTATGGTCTAGTATGCCTGCTGATTATTCACAGTTGAGAGTTTTTGGTTGCACTGCTTATGCTCATGTTGATAATGGAAAGCTAGAACCTAGAGCCATTAAGTGTATGTTTCTTGGTTATGGTTCTGGAGTTAAAGGATATAAGTTATGGAATCCTGAAACTAAAAAGATTTTCATGAGCTAGAGCATTGTTTTCAATGAATCTGTTATGTTTAATGACAGCTTGTCCATAGATGTTTCTCCAGTTGGTTCTAATGAGGAGCAGCAACATGTTAGCGTGCAGGTGGAGCACGTAGATGATCAGGAAACTAAAATTATTGATAACAATGTTCATGATATTGTTCAGCACTCACCTCCTATTTTGTAGCCTCAAAATCAGTCTATTGCATATCGCAGAACAAAGAGAAATTGTGGACCTCGTCCATGTTTAATTGAGGAATGTGATATGGTTCATTATGCCTTTAGTTGTGCTGAACAGGTGGAGAACATTCATGAGCCGGCTACGTACACTGAAGCTGTTGTTTGTGGTGACCGCGAGAAGTAGATTTCCGCCATGCAAGAGGAGATGCAGTCAGTCGAGAAAAATGGCACATGGGATGTTGTGTGCTTGCCTAAACAAAAGAAGGCCGTTCGTTGCAAATGGATCTTCAAGAGAAAGGAGGGTTTATCTCCTAGTGAGCCTCCAAGATTTAAGGCAAGGTTAGTAGTAAAATGTTTTAGTCAGATTTCTGGTGTTGATTATAATGATGTGTTCTCTCTAGTTGTAA